ATTTTACCAAAATTATTATGTAATAAGGTCATCAATATATCTGTAGGTGTGTTTGTAGTAATTTAACTCTTGTTGTAGATTTTTTTGGAAGTTAATCTTTGACAAGTAAAAAGATATACAGATCAAGGAGCTAGAATGTAAGCCCCCAACCTCCTTGACTTATTAAAGTTGATTTTGAAACTTGATGTAGTTATGAAAAAGTGTGCATTTTAGGTAGGTTTCCATTTGTCAAGAGTCATGATATTGAGCATATCAGGGAAGTTTAGGCAGATCAAGTAGACTGGTATAGATTTTTCTAGAGGAAGTGAGGTATATAAGTTTTCAAAGTCATAGCAGTTAATGTTTTGGATGTTAATTGTTTGATTGGTATAATGACAGGAGTGTATTATGGATGATCCAGCAATAGTTATGATTAGTGTTACAATCATTGAAATAAATTTACAGATTTTATTAAGTTGAATTGAAAAATAATAGTCTACATTTTTCTTGTAATTATAGTTCCATTAGCTATAATCTGAATTTTAATGGTGTTTTATGGAATTTGGGAATCGCATAAGATTAGTAAATCTGTTGTAGTTTGCATTGAAAGTAATATTGAGTTTCTTATGAAAGTTTTAATCCTGTTTATTATAGATGTTTCTGTAAGGTTGGCTTAATTGATAAGTAGTTGCGTTGAGAAGTTCTTATGAATAATTTCTGCGTAGAATTGTTTCATATAATGCTAAAGTATTAGTTGCTTTATCTATTTTTGTAATAGTAAAAGCTGTTTTAATTTTTAATATCTGATGTAAGTTGCGACCAATTCAGTGTACTTTTAAACTTGAAGTGATGATTTGGGGATATGCATTGAAGATTTAGCTTTCCATTTTAAGAAGGTATCTATGGGAAATTCAGTTGATAGCTTGCTTTAACTATAAATTCGTTGATGTTTTTTGAAAGTTCTTGTAACAGTAATTTTTAGTCGGTTTTCTGACTGGTCTAAATTTTGTACCATAACTCGTTAGTGTTTTTAGTGGTGGTTTTGTATGATATTCAGGTTGCCAGTAATTATGTGCTGTAGTGATGAGAACTATGTAATTGCTGTAAATTGGTGTGTCTTACAATGTCATTTGCTGTTTCATCTATTTCATGTGGTTAGTGAGCAATTGCTAAGGTCCTTTGATATTTAAATGCAACCATTGGTATTGTGTCAACTGCGAGGACGTGTATTTTACAATCTGACGATTCTTGAGAAATGAATATTGTCAAACTGCGGATGCAGAAAATTGACTTTAAATAAAATTTTGCGTTGAGTGAGGAGTCTGAAAAGACTAAAATCGAGAATCATGTCTTTAATGATTTGTATGTCGTCGTAGCTTTCTTGAATGAATTTCTTTAGTATGATAAGAAATTATTAGTACAGGAGTGTAACCAGTTGAGAAGTTCTTGGGAAAGTTGTCTGAGTCAAAAAAAAACATTTCAAAGTTTTTCAATGCAGTGTATCCAAGTGGATAAAAATCTCGCATTATTTTTTATTTTGCTTCCTCTTTTTCTCTCTGTGTTTTGTTGCGTAAGCTTAATTGGCTGAAAATAGATTTTTTAGAAGTATCTCTATGACTATGTATACAAGTGTTAAGTCCATATGGATAAGGGAACGTTGTTTTAGTATATAGAGAGATTCCGAAAAATTCTTGTTTTGTGATTGGGTATATATCTAGTATCTGAAGTTGAATAGAATTGAAGTCATGTGTTTAAAGTGCTCTAATTTGCTGTATTTAATTGTGATGGTGTACTATTTAATGCTTTTTTTTTTTTTTTTTTTTTTTTGTGCGTTGAATTTTTAATTTGAGCTCTATGGTTATTGATTCGAAAGTTAAGATTGTATATATATATATATATATATATATGAGACTTTTATTATTTAAACAGCATTGCTTTTTACAGAAAGATTTTAGGAAATTTCATTTTGAAGTTTTCATTTCCCAGCAGATACGTTGAAATCGTTAAAATATTTTGATTTTCATTCCAGCAAATATTTATTTCTGTTTTCAAATAATAAAAAAGCTATATTATAGATACTTATAGTACAAAAAATGTCAATATGGCAGAATTTGTTTAATTTTAAACAAATTGCCTAGATCTTTAGGAACAACTTCTATATACATTATAGCAATATATTCAGGCTTCTGTTTTCATTATTATGCAATATTTGCTACAATATTTGCATGAGAAACCATCTGACATTATTTTTAATTTCCTTAATTCAGGAGTTTGTTTTTTGGGGATTACATGTTTCCAGATGAAGATATTAGAGTGTATGATGAAGTACAAGATTTAGAACAATTATCAGAAGTCATGAATGGGTAAATAAAATTAAATGATGGATCTTTATTCTTTAATTTATAAACATATTATTTTCACCAGTTTTTTTTTTTTTTTTCAATTTTTATTTTGTAATTCTTTTTAACAGATACCTAAATGATTATAATCAGATGAGCAAAACTCCTATGCATTTGGTTTTATTTAAATTTGCCATCGAGCATATTTCACGTATATCTCGAGTTTTAAAGCAAGATAATGGCCATGTTCTTCTTGTTGGTAAATTCTGCATTTTTCTTTTACTTATTCATTGCAACCTTAATCAATATCATTTTTATTTATTTATTTATGATAAAATACGAAAAGAATTTCTAATATACATGAAATAATGATATATATTAAAGATGAAAGAATAAATTGTAATTAGATCATTAAAAAATTATAGCAACTATATATAGAATTAAAATTCTTTATTTTACTTTAATTGTATTAGTAAGTTTTTCTATTCATATTATGATAACTAGCATAAATGTTGCCTTTTGTTGTTTCTGTGACTTCCTTAAGAACACTTTTTGATTCATATTTTCATTACACAATTATATTTATAATCTGTTTTAGCACAAACACTGTTTAACAGAATTATTATATTATGATAATTTTTTTAGAAATCCAACTATCTAAGATATTTTTATTTTTTTATTGACTCGTGTAGGTATTGGTGGAAGTGGAAGACAAAGTGCTGCTAGATTAGCAACATACATGGCAGGCTATGAGATATTTCAGATTGAGATAACAAAAAATTATACAAATACTGAATGGCGTGATGACCTTAAAAAGGTACGGAATTTCAGTTTACAAAGTTATGTCCATTTTGTGTCTGTATCTATGATTTATTAATGCTTTTGCATATATACTAAATGAAACTATTTGTGTTATTGCAGTCTTTGATAACTTAGAATCTAAAATCGCTGAACTAGCAAGATTGTATCTTCAAATTGTGTCAAAACTGTGCTAGAAAATATTTTATATCTAAAATCAGTGTTTATTTGAGCTTTCTAAACTTGGTTTGTGTGATATTTCACATGGGTAAAGTTTTTGTATTTTTAATATTCTAATATTTTTTGAGAAAATCTTCTTGTAAAAATATTGCTCCCTTCTTATTGAACAAAGTTTCTCAGAAAGTGACTCGTATTTCTGAAAATATAAATAAATATTAATGCTTAAAAAAAGTAATTTTCTATGACAACCACCTCCAAGGAAGTGGGAGATCGTCTGATTTTGTGAGAAATGACAAGATCATCTGAAGAAGTTTTCACTAAAATAAGAATTATAATAAATTGTTTGTTTAAAAATTAATAATAATTTGAATTACATGATATATCAATAATAGAATTTTATTTATTGTCTTTATTAATTTAAAAGAGTTTCTGAAGGAAACAAAAATAAATTTTATAACTTTATCGATACACTTTGTGCGAGCCTTGAGAAATAAATATTGTACTATGATGCAAACTGATTAATGGTAACTGAGAGTTAAGTTATCTGCTAATGTTTATTGGATGTGCATTTAGTGTGTCTAATGTTCAATAAAAGCAGTATTAACTGTAACATAAAATAAGTACAAGTAATAATATTTTTTTTAACATTTCAGAATTTTATTTGAATTTCTTGCATGTCATGAGTTGTGTCAAAAATGCTTTTGTAAAATTTTTTAAGTAATGAGAATTTGTGTAATTATGTTCTCTTTCCAAATTATGACTTTTTGACTACATAATATTATTTTTATTTTAATAATTTATTAATATACAATATTAAATTTTTATACTGTAATATATTGTGCATCTTTTTTATATCAGAATTCCTTGTTATGAATGTGCTTTTTTGTATGTTCTAAATTTAAATCCATAACTATTCTTAAACTTACTTTTAAAGTTTAAGTTATTTGGTTTCTTTAGTTCTTTTGTTTGGTGCTGTTAAATATTTTTTTCCTTACAGGTCCTCCGAAAAGCTGGGGCAGATGGAAAAGCAACTGTCTTCCTTTTCAATGATAACCAAATAAAAGATGAATCATTTGTGGAAGACATCAATATGATTTTAAACACAGGAGATGTTCCTAACCTTTATGCTGCAGATGAAAAAGCAGAGATTTTAGAAAAGATGCAGACAGCTGCCAGAGACTGTGTATGAGAACATAATAACTTTTGTGGTTGTCTAAGTATTGATGACATTTTATATGTTAATATATTCTGATGTTGCATAATTTTTGTCTTAATTAAGTTGAACTCAATATTTTTTTCTTCACATGAATGGTTTCCAATTTCATCAGAACATTGCCCAACTTCAATTAAAATAACATTTAAGACCCTTTTTCTTTTATTCTTTATGGGCAGAAAGAATAATAGGATTATAAAAATTATTTTATTTCTTACCGATTTCAGATTTGTCTTACTAGTTACTTACTTGTTTACTGTCTTACTTGTTTTACTTACCGTCCTCTGAGAACTAGAAATGATATTAATTTATTAGAAACTTTAATATTCAGTTATTTTGGGCTCAAATGGCTGGTTTGAAATTAATTTATTAATTGTAAATGTAATTAATGCATTAGCTGTAATTAATGTATTAGCTGTGTAAACAGGACATGCTTCATAAGTCAGTACAATCATTTTCATCATTTAAGCATCCTGTAGTGTTATAACAGAAAGGGACAGAAGTTGGAAAACTTTTTTTAAATATATATAAACAGATCCTATAAATTCTGAGTGATTTTTACCTTTATTTCGCAGTACAAATATATCTTGTGATTCACTTTAACCTATTTTATCTTTAGTGCCACCAGGTATACAATGAGGGATAGCTATTCTAATCCTTTTTTTTTTTTTTTTTTTTTTTTTTATTTTCATTAAATCTCTGAAACAAAAGTATAATATTGGTTGAAACAATAAAGTCTGTTGTTGGAACCAGTGGCTCAGCGAAGGCATAGTCAGCCACCATAGTGGCTTGTGACACCCATGGATCACCAATGCATGAGATGGTCTTGCAATTAGAAGAGCTGCTACGTCTGCACCAACAGTTACACTATCATCAATTTATTGCTATTAGCCAACTCACAGGGATCCCAGGATATCCAGAGATATGATTTGCAGAGGACTAGGTGATGCTGGCCTTCACATCCATTAAGACACCATTCACATTTTACCATTAGCAATGTTATCTTGCATGGATTTGCTCTTCCTCAAGCTGAACAGTGTCCGATTGGAGAAATGTGGTCTTCAGCTATGAATCATGCTTTTTCCTTGATGCTGATGACTGTTTCATACATATCTGGAGATGGAGAGGGGAGCAGTTCAGTTTACCATTTGTTACCAAGTAGCACACAGCCAGAACACAGGGTGCGACAGTCTGAGCTGTGATCAGCTGGGACAGCCATTCAGCATATAAAGTCTGCTCGCAAATACGTTGATGACATTTTGCATCCAATTGTACTGTCTATGTTAGCATGATCATCCAGGTTCTGTATTCCAGCAGGATAATGCTTGGCAACATACAGCACAACTTTCATAACAGTGTTTTCGACATGTTAATGTTCTTGACTAGCCTGCAAAATCTCCAGACCTGTTGCCTATGAAACATATTTGGGACATGTTGGGCAAGCAAAAATATAAGCAAGCCATGTATAAATATGTCTCAACTTGCTGACCAGTTGCTCCATTTGTGACCCAATCTACTGCAGAGGGACATTGGCAACTTAAAAGACTCCATGCCCAACCGAGTATCGGCTTCTATAGCCGCCAGGGCTGGCTTTACCACCTACTGATTTTCAAATTCTATATGTTGCTACTCATAAATAATATTCTTTTTTCACGTAAGTTTTTGATCATTCGTTTATCTACTCAAACACCATACTACTGCTGAGTTTAGTAATTGTGGCTCTTTCTGGGTGCATACGTTTTTTTGCAACAGTGTGTGTATGTATATATATATATATATGTTGTATGAACTTAAATCCATTTAGTGCGAATACAATGTATATACAGTATTAAGTCCATAATCTGGACGTCCATTATGAGGAATGATCTATAATCCGGACCTCAAAGCCACAAACGTTTTTTTATATATGCTCTACACATGCGCTTTTAATGTATAACGGACGGTATAAGCTAGGCTAAAATTATCTTTACTGATTCTAAGGCATTTCAGTTAATGTTGCAGATTGTGGTGTTCCTTAATCTTCTAATTGGATCCGGCTTATTATTTTTTGCAGACTGTTAGAGCAATCTTATAAAAATTAAGCTTGAACTTTCGATTATGTCAAAAAGAGTTTACAATTCTGGAGCTGCCAAAGGATCTACAAAGCGAAAGCATGTTTCGATGTATTGCTTCCAATAGTGAAGAAAGTGACAGAGAGGTTATTGAAAACGAAAAAATTTCGATTCACAAGTTAGTCGGTTAGTCGGTCACAAGTTTATTCTCGACACAGCAATTACAGGACTTGAACAATGGAACTTAACAAGAAATTATGTCTATTTATAGAATTAAAGAGAAAGTATTAGCACAAAAAACGAAGCAACTTAAACAACTTACATTGAAAGAAATGTTTAATAAAGTAAACAAATAAATATTAAGCTTTTTTTTTTTTTTTTTATTATGATACCCTTTAGATCATAATTGCTCTTTATTTCATAAATTACGGTTTCATATTTCTAATTGTATAATTTCTGCATGCCATCTTACCAGATTTAAATTGATGATCTATAATCCGGAAAAACCCCTAATCCGGAATTGGCAAAGTCCAGACGAGTGCGGATTACGGACTTTTTACTGTATATATATATAAATTTCAATATTCATTTATTTTGTAGTAATCGCTATATTAAACTATACTTCCAGGGCAAGAAAGTTGATACTACTCCTCTGTCTCTGTATAATTTTTTTATAGAAAGGGTGCGTCAAAATCTTCATTTAGTACTTGCAATGAGTCCTATTGGTGGAGCTTTCCGTAATAGGTTGAGGATGTTTCCATCTCTCATAAACTGTTGCACCATCGATTGGTTTCAGGTACAACAACATTTCCATTTAATTTTGTAATTATTATTGAAAACAGATTTTCAGCTCTAGTTTTATGTCAAATAAATATGTCTAAAAAAAAGTATTTATTGTACTCCTGTATATTTACACTGTTCTCCTACTTATTCATGGGTGGATTATCTCGCTTATTTATGTGTAGTCAAGGAAAAATGTCAAGGTAAAACATGAGAAGTGTTTTAAAAAAACCCATTGATTTTTATATAGTGAATTTCATTGCTATTATTTGGAATGAAACATTAATTTATGGCTGGGAAAAAAATATCTTCAAAGTAAAAGTATTCTTCTGGTAAGGAAGGTAAAATTAACAGGTCTTGTTAAAATCATTACTTATATTCAAAATTTTGAAAACCATGAAAGATAGAAATTTAGTTATAAGCCTCAAAGAAAAATGAAGGCTGGAAGTCTTATTAGACATAGACAGTAGGTTCCCAGTGGGGATAATACTGTACCCAGAGGGTGCTTTTATGGGGGCAGTAGCAAAAGGAAGGACATCCTTTTCTATTTTATTCACAATAATTCTGCAGCACTTTGCACAACATTAATAGTTTTTAATTAAGTGTTTCAATAATTTATCACCTGTATTTTACTAATTAGATATGCAGATTTTAACACATCTACTGGATTTTCATGTCAGGTTCATATTAATAATTTTTTACTTATATCTTTACAAAGTGGTTAGCTCTCTTAATTTGAATTCTGAATTTTATTTATACTTTCTTCATGTTAGACAACTTGCCATTTTTGATATACTATTATGTTCTCTTGCATTCTTTCATATATACAGACATATATAATGTAATACACATGTAAAACATTTTTTAGTGAAATGAAAAAACTTTATTTTATTTAAGACATACTTCAAGTAGCTTTTCCTCAGAAATTATTAAATTTATAACCATGAAATTTTTGCCTTGATTAAATGCAAATACACTTACATGGCCTCTCTCTGAGACTACGAATTTCAGTCATCACGTTGAGATTTTACTGATAATGAATAAATAAATAAATAAATATCTGTGCATTTTTATCAAAAAAAGTCAGCTTTTTAAGTCAAAATTTTAACATATTTATTATTATTAATTTTTTTTAAATCTGTAAACTTCTGTACTAAAATATCTGCTATATGTGTCACAGTTTCTAAAGGTAACATACAGTATTGGGAAAAAAAAACGCAGATCTTGAAAAACTTTTTTGTGGGGGGGAAGGGAGTAAAATAGGTGTAATTGTGAATAAGGTGTTCAAGCATCCAAAGAATCTCCAATTAATAATCTTTAATGTTTTTAAATATAAAGTCCTTACTTGTCATCCTTGTAACTAGCCATTTTATATTCCCGTCCCCCCTTTTCTTTCTAAATTTCGGTAGATTATGTTCATTATTATCTAAACCCCTGTCTTGCATTACAAATTTATAACAGTGTATAAACTTTTTGTGGTATGGTGATAAGAGTTTCATATATTTACTGGAAAGTTTTCCTTAAAAGTATATAATTATAGTCTTTAAGTTTTGAGAATGTATTAAAAATGCTATATATATTTAATATAGTGAAAAGCAATCAATTCAAAATAGATCTTCTGTGCTTCTACAGCACAGTTTTCCACATGATATGGTTTAAATCTTTTGGTGGGTAATACATATATATTTCCTTTAATTTCCAACTTATTGGTATTTATTTTATTTCTCTGCGCACTTCATACTATTGAGAATCTCTTAACTTATGACTAATATTATGATGGATATTGCTTATACTGACATGAAAAAGAATGCTTTGATCAAATGAAGAATTGACTCTTAGAATACATAGGGGTAATAATTTATATATTGAAATGACTTTTTCTGCGTAACTCTCATTAAGTCCCTGTTAACATTTAAAATATTTCATATATCTAGTTTAGTTGTAAAAATAGAACAACAGTAATTTGTAAACTTATATTGATTTATCTAAAGACACTGCATATGAACATGATTTTTATTGGTTGACTAATTTTGAAAAATTAAAAACTTATGCATTGTATTGTTTGAACTATATTTTATTCAATAATTTGTTTCATTGTATAGCTATCAGTTTTTTTTTCCTGCAAGTTTTATATATATATATATATACAGTAAAGTTAAATTAAATTTAAATAATTCTCTTGCACCATTGTTGCAAGGAATGAAATTTGAATTTAACAAACATTCTCTATTCATAAAAGCAAATTTAATTGCCTTTTTAGTATTATTTATGTATTTTTTATAAACAGTATCTAGTTTCTTTTTTATTTATTTGCATAATTCGTGTCGGGGGAAGTTTTTTGTAGGCAAGAGTTTCTAAATCACTCGGGTTTTCTAAAAAATTTGGTTTTCTACTCTTAATTGACTTTAATTATTCTAGTCTTTACTTGCTAAAAATTTCACTTGTTTAAATATCTTTTTAGTATTTCACAACGTTTGGTTTTAAATTTTCTTTTTTACCCTTGCCTACATAAATGACGAAACACGAATTGAATAATTGAAAAGTTAGGTTTGGAGGCAACTTCCCCTTGATAAGTCTGTCTCCTGCCTGGTCAACAATTATTCACTTATGCATTTTTTTAAATATTTAGGATTAAAAAATTTATTGGAATTATATATTATACATTTATTATATATTTCATAGATTTTGATACTTGCACTTGATTTACATACGCTCTCAGAATTTAAATGATATTGTAGATTAGTTTGCAGCAATAATTAGTCATTTATTTGTAATTCAATTTCATTTAAAATATAATTAACTTTAAATTTGCATTATATGAATAGAGAATGTTTGTTAAATATATATATATGTACTTCCTATTTATAAATCTTATATCATTGTTATAACCAAAAACAGCATTTATCACTAAGGTAATTAATAAAATTTTCTTTTTTATTTTCAGTCTTGGCCTGATGATGCTTTGGAAATGGTGGCTAATAAATTTCTTCAGAGTGCTGATATTGATTCTAAAATCCGATTAGCTTGTGTTAAAATGTGCAAGCACTTCCATCAAAGTGTATACAATATGTCTGAGAGGTAAAGTTTGTAAAATATGAAAGATCAGTATGTTTATGTTTAAACCATCTTATAACAACTTTGAGTAACACTGTTGTGAGATGGTCCATATAAAGCATGTAAGTCTGTCAAAATCTGAATACATCTAATCACTGAACACTGATAGCATGATCAGTGATTTGCTTTTTGGAAAAAATTGTGGCTCATAAATTTTTATGGTTTTATACTCAAATTTCATAGTTTCAAATATTTGAGATTTAAGAAACAATGTCCATTAAAAAGTTCTGTACTAAAGTATCCTCAATAAGCAGTTATCTGTCATGTGTTTTGTCACAATAATTTGTCTCAAAGTATAATTTTTCTGGTGTTTCTTAATCATCATTAATTAATTTAATGATGATTATGAACATGATTATGCATCATATTTTGCTTATATTTAACATTATTTATGAGTGTATACTATACAGTTTTTGATTTAAAAAATTTATTTTTATTAAAGGAATACTATATGTGTATTTTGATAATTAAGATCAATTATGGTGTTCTTGTGTGTCTTACAGTATTCTGAGCCAAAAGCAAAATCAATCCTAACTTTCTAAAAAATAACTTAGATTTCATAACATATATTATTGCCAGTAGTACCCTGAAAGAATTAAAGCATACATTTTTATTAATTGCATACTTTAATTCTCTTAAAAAAGAAATCTTATATTACTGTTCTCTAACAAATTTTTCTCATGGAAGTTTTTGAGATATCGAATCAGAACTTATAACTTGAAATACTTTTGGTGGAATTAGATAAATTTTTATCTTTTGATTAAATGAAAAATTTGCACTTTGATTAAGAAAATTATGGGCTGCATCTTTATCAAATGCTTTTCAGTGTTCACTTAGTTGGCGATGAAGATAATGATTTTAATGCTTTATATTATAAAATCAAATTTAATCCCATATATAATTAAATATGAAGTGTATGTATGTATATATATATATGCACATAAATAACTTAATCTATTTATTTTCATTATCTTCATAGATATTACTTTGAGCTGCAACGAAAAAATTATGTAACACCTACATCATATTTAGGACTCATTCTAACATTTAAAGAACTTTTAGCTAAAAAGCAAGGTGATTTGCTAAACCAAAGGAACCGTTATATTGTGAGTTAATTTTTAATTATGTTTTTTTATCTTTTTATTTAAATTTATAAATGAAAATAAAGTCTTAAAATGAAATTTTTATTTAATTTATTCTGAAATGTATTATTTGCAGTTTGCAAATGAAATCTTTAATTAACTGAAGCTTTTGAAGAAAAAACTAAAACTGTATAAATTCAGTAGTTCCAAAATATTTATGGTGTAAATGATATTCTTTATGTACCATATAAATAGGTGATTTCCAGTGGAAATATTCCTCACAAGATGATCTAGGTGTCATAATTCAGTAGTGCCAAATATTTATGGTATAAATGATATTCTTTATATACCATATAAATAAGTGGTTTCCAGTGGAAATATTCCTCATAAGAAGACCCAGATCATAGAAAGTTTTCAAAAAAAAATTATATAATCAGATTTAAAAAAGAATAGATTTTTCTCAGATGTAAAATTTTGTGGTCTTCCAAATTATAAAAATTTTTCAGAATACTTTTAAAAAATTATGTATTTCAAATTAGAAAGTGGAATAAGTTTAACAAGAATTTTTAATTTCCTTTTTAAGTAGCTTTATTAAATTAAATCTAAGTAAAGCATATTTCAATGTGTTGCTAATCTATTTACTAAATAGTGTAATTTTTTAAATGTGAAAAAACAAATATTTGACAGTGCAATTAGGAAGAAGGGGCTCCCATACATGGCTTAAAAAATTCCTTAATATGGTAAAATACCCCAACACCTAGAGGTGATCCAAGGAGGGATAACCCTCCCAGTCAACCCAGGGAGAGTTATACGCTCAACCTTGAGAGTATGTTTCGCAAGTCAAAGGTGGATGGCAAGCATCCATCCACCTTTGACAAGCATAACACATCGTAGTCCATCCCCAAGTGTTGAACAAGAGAAGTCAAACCCCCAAGGACAACCTTTGATATCAAGACATGTAGCATCCCCAAAACCAAGGGACAGACAAGACAGTATCAGTATGGTCCATGCTAAAGCTATAGTCTCTGTCTGAACCTACCACCAAATAAATGATTGTTCTAGCCATTGTGAAGACTGTTCATTTACCCCAGAAGTCAAGTCTCTCTAAGTACAGGTCCTAGCCAGAACCCCAGGAGTTGCCCTCCAGTCGAACCCGGGGGGGGACATATATTAAATATCTGACAGCCTACAGATATTTATAATTTTTATGTTGAGAAAAAATCAAAGAAAATCTTTCCAATTTTGTTTGTTTTTTAGGTTGGTTTAGAAAAATTAGACTTTGCTGCCTCTCAAATAGCTATAATGCAAGATCAGATTACTGCCTTACAACCAGAACTTGTGAAAAAAGCTGAAGAAATTGAGAGTCTTATGGTTGTAATAGAAGCAGAAACTGTAGATGTTGAGTCCCAAAAAGAGGTACATATCAGAAACAAATTATCATTTGATACATTTCATCACCTAATGAATCTTCATTTTATTGCTTGTTTTTCTTTTTTTTTTTTTTTTATTTTATTTATTTATTTCCCTTATAAAATAAACCTTTCATATTACATGTTAGATTTTAATTTGTAGTAGACACTTATGTGTTTTAATATATTTTTTATTAATAAGTAATATGATAGTTATGCATATGTGTTAACACTGTTGTTAAGTTTGAATGAATATGAAATATTATGTACAGTTCAGGATGAAAATGAACTATTTCAGTATTCAAAACACTAAGGTTTTTTAGGATTAACTAATTGCAACTTATGAAATTTTTACCATCTTAATTTGGATGTTACAAGTTAATTCTATGTCTGCTTAGAAGAAGCTGATTTTGATTGTAATTAATCTGAATGTGCATTTTATCTATATGCTAAAAATGATGGAATTTAATAAATACAATAAAATTTATAGTTAGTTGCTGCAGAAGAAGCTGTAGCTAATAAGAAAGCTGCTCAAGCACAAGCTATTAAAGATGATTGTGAACGAGATTTAGCTGAAGCTATACCAGCTATGGAAGCTGCTGTTGCTGCTTTGAATACACTGAAGCCTGCTGATATTACTGTTGTCAAGGCAATGAAAGTAAGGAATATTTTTATACACTAAAATAATAATAACATTATAATTCATTAGTTTTTCAATGCATGTATCTTTAGTAACCAATTTTACATTTTTCTAACTAAAAGACACATAATCTGTTTTAAATTCAACAGATTATGTATATTATTATTATTTTTGACCGGAGGTACAACAACTCCGGTCAAAAATATTTCCTTCACATCAAAACATGTAATTAAATCTATTATCTGTTTTGGAAAGCAGAAGTGTTAACAAAGGGGAGTAATAGAAAATTACTAGATCAATAATTTCTAATATGAATCTGTGGAAAGTGCTATGGATGCATCAAAAAGCACAAGGTACTTCTGATGAGATTTTTGGTTATTGAAAATGTGAAAAAAATTATAATTAAAGAAAAGTGAATTGTTGCACTGCTGCAAAAATAAAGAACTGAAGATTAAATCACCATTAAAAACTAATACCATGTGGTAATATAAATGCAAATAATAGCCTCGTTAATCTGAGGCTTTCACATTTTCAAATAGAAAATGTTTTAATTCTTAAAATATACTTTTTGGAAGGATTCAATACCTAGAAAAGAAAATATAGCTTAGCTAAGCTGTTGAGTGAACAGATCAAACTAAAAAAGTGTTACATTTTGTAACAGGCGGCTAAGATGTTATAAATGGTTTCCTTACAATGAACTACAAAATATCCACATAATGACACATTTTTTATACCTGAGCATGTATGTCTTGTCTTCATTATACTATAAAATTATACCTCTTTTCAAGATCTTCAAGTATCTGTATGATCTTTTTAATTTCCTTATAATACCTAACCTACTGGTTAAAGATCTAATGATTAGGGAAGCCTAATTCACTCCCATGTAAAATCTGAATCTATTTTTTATTATTTTTGAAGATTCGATAACATAGTGATAAAAAATGGAATATATGTGATACATGGATCATGTTTGTTTCTGACCATCAGCCAAGTTATTCCATGTTGTATAGTAAGTTTGTAATCCGCACTCATTGGGACTACGCCGATTCCGGATTATAGATCTTCAATTTTAATCTGGTAAGATGGCATTCAGAAATTATGCAATTAAAAATATGAAACCATAATTTATGAAATAAAAAGCAGTTAGGATCTATAGGGTATCAAAATTTACAAAAAAAAAAAAAAAGCTTAATGTTTATTTGTTTACTTTATTAAACATTTCTTTCAATGTAAGTTGTTTAATTTACTTCGTTTTTTGTGCTAATACTTTCTCTTTAATTCTATAAACAGACATAATTTCTTCTTCAGTTACAAAGTTCCACATATCGGAAGCAGTATTTTCTGGATCTAGAACCATACTACAGATTTTGCCGTCCGTTGATTGATTGATGATTGGGCCATTGTTATCGCAATGAAAAACTTCTGCTATATGATCATCATTCTCCACATTTCTTTACAAAATCCAATAACTGGAAAATTTCACCTTTAGTTTGCGATGTCCGAAAACCTTCAAATCCGTGGCTATCATCTTCATCGTCGTCACAATGAAATATGGCAGCTGGCCATAAATTATGCCAAGCATTTTTTAACGTATCTGGAGACACATCCTCCCAATGCGCGTGCGCATGCTTAAACGTATGTGCATTCGCATGCATAAAGCATACAAAAAAAAATTTTTTTGCCTTTGAGGTCCGAATTATAGATCATTCTGGATAATGGACGTCCGGATTACAGACTTTGTACTGTATTCAGTTAGAGCAATTCTTGGATCATGCTGCCAGAGTTTTTGTTTAATAAGTTTTTATTTACACCTGGCATTGTGGTTATAAGTGAAAGACACTGCTATAAATACATCATGGGGGGGGAATGCCATGGGAAAAGCAATGCAAGAGGAAAATGTCATTATACAAAACATGGAAGTAAAAAATGCAGTTACAAAATATTGTGGTAGAGAATAAGGCAGTGCAAAAACTTCGTGGTTTTAAAACATTGTCATACAAAACATGGTTAGAACAAATAAAATACCTACAAAACATACAGACATGCATTTTTTGACTGATTTCTGACAAATTTTAAGTGAATTTTTGTGTATTGAGAATAAGAGTGATTTTGTGATTAAGAAGAAGTAATATTTTTTACCTCTATAATTTGATATTTTGTGTCGCCTAATAAATTTTTACTGAAAAGCAAGAAGGAAACTCAAGCATAAAAAATTTGGAAATTAGTAAAAATTAATGCTATGTATAATAGTTAATAGAATTTTAAACATTTATTGCTAATTATTAAAAAGTCATTATCATGTATCATTTGTAATTCATAATTCAGAAACTTTATAATTATGAGTAATTGAGATTTTTTATGAGCATTAGCCTATCCAACCATCTTAGCCACATATTGAAGCATTATCATATCATATTTATCCAAGTTAAGCATTTTTAATTTTTATAAACATTTTTTTCTGCTCATCATAATTCATACTTTTCTAATCATAATTTTGTGCTCACTAGTAGCTGAATGGGTGAACTAAAATTTTTGCAGTTTATCTAAATTTTTATTTTTAATGACTGACAGAGTTGGCTGCATTAAATTTTTAAGGTTTCCCTTTGTGTAACATAAATATTAATTAATTTCCATCAGAAAGCTCTTTATAAAAACTTTTTTTTAGTCTCTTAGCCATAAGTATTACCTTAAAGTCTGCTATTCTGTTTCAAAATAGATTAAATATTATATATATTGATGTTTGCCTGAATATGTATTGATATTTGCCTCTATTATAGCTTTTGTAGATAATGTGTAATAATTATAAATGTGAAAACACCCCTGAATTATTCAAAAAATTGCAGCATTTTAATTCATAATTATGTCATAAAATTTTAAATCTACTTTTATTGATACAAAATATTTAATTCTATGAAGCTTTTAAAAAGTGTTCTAAAGAATAAAATTGTTACTTTCTTAATAATATAGTGTTATTTCAAAATTGCATCTTAATTTATATACCAAGTAAGTTAAATTGTGTATTGCTATGTAATCTAAATTAAAGCAGTGTTACATGAACTGAATTTACTTATTTCATGCTTTTCCCCTTTTAATTGCTCTTTATGGCTACATCAAGTATACTTCAAGGGACTTTGCAGTTTATCAAGTTTTGTACACTTATTTGCAAATCATCCTGTATTTTATGCTTTTTTTATGTATAGAACCCTCCTCCTGGTGTGAAGCTTGTAATGGAAGCTATCTGTATTATGCGAGGTATAAAGCCAGAACGAAAGCCTGATCCCAGTGGTTCTGGCAAAATGATTGAAGATTATTGGGGTCCTTCTCAAAAAATGTTAGGTGATCTGAAATTTTTGGATGCTTTAAAATCATATGACAAAGATAACATCCCAGAACCCATCATTCAGAGAATTCGTCAAAAGTAAGCTTATTAACTCCATTTTTTTCCTTAATGAATGTATTGAAAAATTTCATGTAAATATGCAGTTGGATGTGGTGCTAATAACATTTCTATGAAGACTCATCATTAGCTTTATAAATTGTAGAATTCCATTTTATAGTATAAAACTCATTTTAAAGTTTTATATAATAAATTTAATTTTGCCACAAGTGATTATAAAGCACTTCAGTCTTATAAAAAGTAGACTAATTCCATTTTACTCCCAATGTTTAATAACCAAAATATACTACATTTGTTCAAAAGTACTATGATTTGGGGAAATTTCAAAGTTATCAAAAAAAACTCTGAGATTAAATGTCTGATATTTGAACTGCAAACCACTACATTTTGTATTATTCTTTCAATATATCCAATTCAAATGTGCACAATGAACTGCCAGTCTTTGTCATTTAGTAGTTTTAGGTATTTTAGTCTCAGAATTATAGCCAAATATATAGCTTGATTTAATCTTTTCATTAAATTTTCAGATGGAGAAAATTTTTAATTTTTAGATTACTGTCTATATACATATTTTAATAAAAATAAATTCACTTATCTTGATTTATAGACTATTTCCCTGTAAAATTATCAAATTTCATTTTCATTATTTTAATCTTTTTCACTTTTATATAGATTCCTTAATAACTGCATACGTATGCTGTTCTTTCAGCAGCGAATTTCAATCAATTGTCACTGCCTTCAAGTATAATAATTAGATCAGATAAAAGGAATTTCAGCAAGATCATTTAATTGTAAAGTTTGATGTAATAAAGTATATTGTTGCGATAGTGGTTTTCCAAAGTGCAGTTACATTTTGCAAGATGCATGGTTATATTGTTTTGAAGCAAAGCTCTAGATAAAGAATTTATTTAAAAATTATTCTACTAAGAAGTGATATAGAGATAAAAACTAATGAAAGGTAAAAATATTTTAAAAGCCCAAAGCAATTATGTATTCATATCTGCAATAAAAGCACCATTTCAGTAAAATCATTTATTTTTCAATTTTATTTATTTTATATTTAAAGTATTTTAATTTCAAATTTTGACAGAATGTACATCAGTTTAAATTAATTAACTAGATGAAGAGTCTGTTCTGAATGTTGAGTATTTTGGAATGATTTAATATTTCAAAAATTATTTTCCTGCATAATTATGTATCACTATATTTTCATCATGTGATTCATTAATTTCTTAAATTCTCAGGTACTGTACAAATCCAGATTTTGACCCTGCTGTTATAAAAAAAGTATCAGTGGCTTGTGAAGGATTATGTCGTTGGGTAAGAGCTATGGATGTATATAATCGTGTCAATAAAGTTGTTGCCCCGAAAAAGATAAAGCTGAAAGAAGCTACAGCTGAAGTTGCAGTTCAGATGAAAGCTTTAAATGAAAAGAAAAAAGCTCTGAAAGCTGTAAGTATATGTTATATTAACTTTCAAATAAGTATGAAATATATTAAATTTCTCATATAACGTGTGGTTGGTATTTATAAATGAATTAATATAAACAGTATGCTAAATTACTTATTTTAAACCCATATTACTGTAGACATACCATCTTTGCAATAAATTGAATTATTATCAGCTATTACTTGTTTTGCATAATCAGCATTTCTAAAGACATAAATAAAATATTGCATTGTATTTTACATCTTTTTTAATTTAATTACACTGAACAGGAAGAAATACTAATAGAGAACATTTTTATATTTAAATTGGACCCCAAATAAACAGCAGTCTTTGATAATATCAAGAAAATACTCTTATGATCCTATTCTTAAAAAATGTGTCCATTTTCAGTTTACACTGAATGCTCTGAATTTACTAAAAAAAATCAAAATAAATAACATAAATAAAATATTGCAGTGTAATTTTACATCTTTTTTAATTTAATTACACTGAACAGGACCCCAAATAAACAGCAGTCTTTGATGATATCAAGAAAATACTCTTATGATCCTATTCTTAAAAAATGTGTCCATTTTCAATTTACACTGAATGCTCTGAATTTACTAAAAAAATTAAAATTCTTTATCTTAGTGTGCTTAAAAATATAGAAAAAGAAGAATTAATTTAATAACAGTTATAGCTTTTTGGAAGAATCTTTTGGAAATCTGAACAGTTGTAACAATTGGTAAGATTTCCAAAAGATCATTAACTTTTGTAACAATATATGCCATATATTATCACAAAGTTGCTACAGCATGTGAAATAATCTTTCATTTATTCAGTTGATCCTTCATTGGGTTATTTAATATTATTAAGTAGATGCTTTGATTTAAATATATACTTTATTTTTTATTACAGATTTAAGAAAGAAAATCAAGTTACATCTGTTTTTTATGCTGTTTGTCTGTGTGAGCAGAATAAATAATGGCCAGCTTGATATATGATGATAATCTTTTAAAGTAACCTGAAAAAGAAAAATTTTCCACATTATCTTGTTAGTCATAATTGTTTTGCATAAATGAAACATTTTGGTATCATGGAAATACTGTATCTGATATAGTAAACTTCAGTTTGGACATCTTCTATTATAATTACAATGCAACAATGTCTAAAGCTACATAATACTTTTATATCACTACAGGTTGGATTCTTGACAACTGTACAATTTAATTGTGTGGGTTTTTGGTGATTTTTTTGTATGTAATTTAAATACGTTTTTTTTTTTTTTTTCCTTAGAAAGTCTTTCATAACAGCATCTCTCATTTTAGCCAGATAGCCCTTGCATGCTCTGCCATAATTAATTAATCCATCCAGCCTGTTGCATTTGTTTTAATCATATGATACTCAGATACATGAATTTATAATTAAGTATTTTTAATTTATACCATTATTTTTGTCTTTATCAGTTCTTTAGCTTCAGAATTGGTTAATTTATGTCTTTTCATAGGAATAACAACATACAGAGATGCTTAAGTAACTTACCTAATATCGAGTTTTAACAAAAGTTTCCCGTTGCTACAGATATCATCAGCAGAAACAGTTCATGGTGGTGTGTTCAATCATATTTTGTCAAAAGATTTTGGCATTTGAAAGAAAAAGACTTACTTTAGAACACTGTGTTGTGAAAATGCTAAAAAATTATCGTTATCCTTAAGTACAAAGTATCTGAAATGGAACTATCATGCTACCAGATTAGAACCATCATTTACTTCCAGTTCTGTTGCAAAAAGTCAGCTACAGAATGTCACCAAATCATGTGCACAGCTTTAGGTACTAATGTTGTATCGTATAACACTGTGAAGATTTGGTACCGAAAGTTCAAAAACAATGACTATAACATCCGAAAAGCAGAGCACTCTGGTCAGCCTACTGATGTTGATGAGGCCCGCTCTAAGAACTTGTGGAAGATCAGTATGCAACCATTTGAAAATTTGTTAGACATTAGTGCCATGTCCATTAGTCGTTCTATGCATCGCATACACTTTACTTACAAGTTCAGTCACTGGGTGCTGCATTGAGCTGACTCAAGCAGATAAGGACAGACATGCTCGGGCCTGCACTAATCTGCTTGAATATCAACACAAGGACAAAATTGTGGACCGTATGGTCCCTTGTGATGAAAAGTGGATTTACTTCAACAACACAGGCCAAAAAGGGGATTGGTCTGCACCCGGTGAGCTAGTTGGCAGCATGACAAAGTGCAATCTGATGAACAAAAAGATCATGCTTTGTATCTAATGGAATTGCTGTGGTATTTGCATTCACCAGCTGGCCTCTGTACGGACTCAAATGGGATCTTTTGCTACACCCACCATATAACCTCTACATCGCTCCTTCAGACTTCTACATTTTTTCACACCTGCAGCTACATCTTGCTGGTGCTATCTTCTATTCTGCACAAGACATTCAAAATGAGATTGATCTGTTTTTGGACTCTCGGTCACCAAGTTTCTGGGCCAAAGGATTTGAAAAATACCAAAACGTTGGCAGAAAATCATAGATTTGGGAGGTGATTACTACCCGCATTTAAGATACTGCTTTCATTTTTTCCCCTAACTTTGTTAAGAACCTTTTTTTGCAGAAAAGTTTTGTTACAACCATACATTATAATTCTCCCCCCCCCTTTTTTTTGTAAGTAATATAAAAAATGTTGAATGTTAAAACATTGAATTTGGAATGAATAACTAAGAATAAACATTCAGTTATTAAAGTTCAAAGAGGAAATAAATGTAATTCATAACCGATTAACTGTGGAAATTTTTTATGATTGATTGCAAATCTAATAATTAAATTTCAATTGAATATGAGATAGTTAATAAGTAGAGTCTCCTTAATGAAGAGAAAACTGTTTCAGTGTCCTTCAAAATTTATAAAGCTTTTCGTTGAACTTAATGTCGATCTAAATGGAGTTTTGCATCATTTTGAATATCTGGTGAATATAAAGAGTATCATTAACAGAGCTATAAGAAATTCATTAAAAACTGTTTATGAATTAAATGTGTGCTATTCATTAGACTTCATTATTCAGATTATGCCAAAGCTTTCAAGGACTGTCTGAATAAGAGGAAGGATGCCTTCATGGCAGACTTTGTAAAAGAAATTGGCTCATTTTCACATTACACTTAGAAAATTTGAGAAAAACATGAAAGGTCGTATGCTACTGGCCTGTTTCCCAGAATTTGACCTGAAACCAGGTCAAACTGGTAATCTTCAACTGTTTTACTACTAGGTTGCTTGTGAGTACCGATCATGTTAATTTATTCATGACTATACACACATATTAATAAAACTGCATACAATTCACAGTGTTGTACAGTGTTTAAAAGTAGAATTATATAGTTTTTTTAACAAAAATATACATGCATTGAGTATAATTTTTATGAAATAACTATACTAACTAATTAATGTACAGCATATGATACAAGTGTATTTTTCCTATTAAATTCTGGGAGAGGAAATAATTTCTATCTCTGTTATATTTGCATGTCTTGTTAAAATTTACTTACATGAATTTTTTTTAATACATTTTGTATGACATTAAGATAAATCACTTTATTTCACCCAGTCATGTATTTTTCGTAGGTCACAGATAAGCTGCAGGAACTCAATGACACATTTACTAGCAAAACCAAAGAAAAAAAAGATTTGGAAGAGAATTTAGAGCTTTGTGAACAAAAGAAAGAGCGAGCTACAAAAATGATTGATGGTTTGGGTGGTGAAAAGGACAGATGGAGTGCAGCAGCTGAAAGTCTTACTCTTGCTTATAATAATATTGTTGGTGATGTTCTTCTGTCTTCAGGAGTTATTGCTTATTTAGGAGCATTTACAGTTGATTTCAGACAGGTAAGTTGTATAAGATGTTCAAAGTATATTTTAAATTATATTGCTAATTTTGTAAAATCATCTTCTTAGATAATTTTTGTTAAATATAATGACAATTATTTTAAAATTAAATTGCCATTATATTTAAGTTGTATTTATACATTTCTGCCGTATTCCTCTCCCCCTTTCCAGTTTTATGAAATGCAGTGAACTATCTCATGGTAACTATCTCTTAAAGTGACCAGTATTTTTGTAAATATAAGTGAACATTATCTCTCTAAGCTCATCTCTACAAAAGATCAAAATCATCTGCATTGTTGGCAATCATCTCAGGAAGAGTTCATTGTTCTTTCATTCTAATTTAGTAAGCTTTGTTTAATTAACAACTCATAATATTATTAAAACTTTGCCCTTTCAGGAATGTACATCATCATGGAAATATCTCTGCAAAGAATCAGGTATACCATGTTCCGATGATTTTTCAGTCATAGAAACATTAGGTGAGCCTGTATTAATCAGAGCTTGGCAAATTGCTGGACTACCTGTTGATAATTTTTCTGTGGAAAACAGTATCATTGTAAAATTTGGAAGAAGATGGCCTTTACTTATAGATCCTCAAGGTATGCTTTAAAAATGTATCTATTATATTATATATATTAATTGGTAGATATCTACATATTAAGTAATGTTTAGCAAATGTGAGCATTCCAGTCATTTTCATATTTCACCATTTCTAAAATTTGATCTTGGTTTCTGTTTTTCCTTGGCAAAATAGATATTTCCTGAATTCAAATCATAATTTATAGTCTTTCAAAATAGAGAATGTTCTGTTTGATGTTCTGTTTGTTGATGTAGAATGTTAGAGATGTAGAATGTTCTGTTTCAGGAAGGAGTCATTTTATATAATACTAATATATATTTGCAGTGATTAAAGCTTATCATTGTAAAAATATCTGCATCATTTTTTCTAGCATTGATTTATATTTCAGATTAAACTATATCATTTTTATTTTATTAAATTAAGGAAAATCTGTTTTGCATTTCTAAACAAATTAATAATTGTTTTGAAAGTTATGATTTATAAGCCAACCAATCAAAACCTTAAAACTAATGAATCAATTTAGTGATCTCTTTTGAAAATTATAATTTATGAGCTAATTATTCGAAACCTTAAAACCATCTCAATAATTTAGTTAATTGTTTTGAAAGCAATGCTTTATAAGGCAGCCAATCAAAAACTTAAAATTACCTTATAAAATATGTGCCCTCTTTTCACTTTCAAAAGAACTCTCATTTCATGAAGCATTGATATATATATCTTGATATCTCATACTTTGATTGCAACTAAATATCCCTCAGTTTCCATAAAGTACGTGGTTGAAATAAACCTGATAATAAGTCTTCTTTTACTCAACCCACAAATACTCAGCTGAATTTCTGTCCAAGCAATTTGATGACCTTCACAATAATTGGAATTTCTTGTCGTAGTCTTAAAACTATTCATTTCCTGAGGGCACTGAGCACCATCGTGAAGTTGCTGAGTGCTTTGTATTCTTGCACTGATTCTATTTGTTGCTTTGTATTCCTTGGAGGTGGCATCTTTGAATGATACCACTTCCAAGGAATACAAAGCAGAAGAAGATGTACTTGGTGAAATGTTATGTTTAAGTTATTGGGAGTTGACAAAGTTGATTCTACTGGAATGCATTTAAATTTCCCTATTCATACAAGAAAAAATCCTTTGACAAATATCATGCAAAGACTTCTTCATGTATACATTGTAACAAGAAAATGGGTTTATCTAGCAATGCATTCTTCTTCCAGCTATCAGTGGTTCAATTTTGATGATTATAATGTTTGTCCTGATGCATGGAAACAAAAAAAGAGAACAAAATATAAAATTGTTTGAAAGATTATTATCAAAATTAATTCAGTTTTTGTTTAATTGCTGTTTATCTGTTTTGATGAAGGGTAAGTGATTTCATAGATAATTTCTTATGAATACTGACCTCCATAAATGAAAAATGACACATGGATAACATTTGTTTTAACTATTTCATTTATTTAAGATTTTTTTATTAATCATATTTGATATTTATATTTATGTTTAATATATATATATAGACATTCATTAGATGGTGTCAGTTGTGTTCTTTGAGGCATCTTGAACGCAATCTTCATTTTTGATTTTACTAACTTTAAGCCAATTTCCACAGATATAATGACTTTATGAAATATCAAATTTTCCCAGATTTTTACAATCAAATTCATATTGACTGCCAATTTATATCTTAATAGCATCAAATTAATGCAGAAAATATTGGGAGCTGTTGTTATGTTTAATTAATACTTTTCTCCTTTTAAACACTATTTATCATCTGAAAATTATGAATATTTTTTTTTTCAGGGCAAGCAAGCAAATGGATTAAAAATATGGAAAAAGACAATAACTTAGATGTAATAAAATTAACAGATAGCAATTATATACGTGTTTTAGAATATGCTTTGCAGTTTGGTCATCCTGTTCTGCTTGAAAATGTTGGAGAAGAATTAGATCCAATTCTAGAACCTATACTGACTAAAGCAATTTATAAAGAAGGAGGAATGGAGGTAAAAGTTTATAATCTCAAGTCCTTTAGTTAAGTCCATCAGCGGCTGAGTTCAGTCCCTGATTTGAGTCCTGGCAAATGGGTGGCTGCATGGGCACTTTCGTGGCTTCCCCCATGTGTACCACGAATACAAGCCAATTTCCCTTAAAATATTCTCCACGGGGCATCTCTCCCTTTCTGTGTAGTGCCTAGTGGCAAAGTACATAATGAAATTTAAAAATAAAAGAAAAATTTTTTTAATAAATTAAGTCTGAACAGAAATAGCTGTCATAGAGGAAGACTAGTATCATCATAGTTCTTTTATCTTCAAAATTTTATTTATTCAATGTAACCCTGTAATTTGTTTCATACTGTATTTAGTGATTAAATATCAACAAAATCAACCATTAAAAAATATAAATTAAAAATGCTGTTCTGAAATTAATTTTACATTTCTTCAATAAATAAAGACACCTGTGATCAAATACTGTGGTGATTTTCTAGAATACAAGTTTGTGTGCCTGATTTGCAAGCTTTAGTTACACAGAAAGAGAGTAAAATTGTATCTGCCATCCTGAAGATATTAAAAGAATTTTCAGTCTGGATTTTTATACTGGGGAAACTTTTTTCACTAAGAATTTGTCCACAACTTACATAAATAATTAGTTTAAAAGTAGCAACTTCAAACTTAAGATTGCACCTAAAGTATTGCCTACAGTTTCTATTAATATTCTGTTACATTTATTAAAATGTATACTTATTTTATTTCAAAATCATAATTGTATTTTAATGTGCTGTAATATAAATATAGTAAAAATTACATTTATAATGATGAACTGAGCTTTTTTTGGATATTTGTGAATCTGAGCAACTTTATGATGACAAGACAACATATTTTATTTTTGCAGATGATAAAAATTGGTGATAATGTGGTACAATATTCACAAGGTTTCAGGTTTTACATCACAACCAGACTACAGAATCCTCACTATTTACCTGAAATTTCTGTTAAGGTATATTTTTGTTGGTTTGTCATTAATCTTATTTGATTTTAATGTAATACTTTACTTACTTATCTATCATGGGTAATTAATGGGTAATTATCTATCATGGGTAATTAATTTTGTATTTCTTATTCAAAATTTTTATCACTGTACCAATTTTGTAATTTACTAAATGTGATGCCACCTAGACAGTACATCTTCTTGTATTTTCATACTTTGGGATTATTGCTGTTGTTCCTTGAATGAAGAATTAAGTTTTTAAATATAAAATAGATCTGCAATTTATTATTCTTATCATGTAATTCAGTATTCCTAAACATAATATCCTAATTAGCATATATCATAGCTGTGTGGCTATCTTTCATAAAATTGTGACAAATAACATCAAGTGACGAAGAAGCACTAACAAAAACTTAACAGCACTTTCAATATATATTCAACAATGTATATTCAACTTGCATTGATTAAAATGAAAAAAATAATTATTGCTATTACAGTATAATATAAAATGAATCAACTAGAGAAACAGAAACATACTTAGAATTTAAATGGATTGTAACTGGAGACTTTTAGTTTTTCTGGGGCCTTTTACAAGCTAAATCATGCAAGAATCTTCAAATACTTTACTTATACGTGGAAAAACTTTTTTTTTTTTTTTTTTTTTTTTTTTTTTTTTTTTTTTTTTTTGTATAAAAAATAACAATAACTGTATTATGCACAATTTCTTTTGCAAGCAAAATTTGCTACTTTGTGATAAAATTGTATTTTGTGAAATTATTGCAATAATTAATGCATGAAAACATTACTGTTAAACTGAATGGGAATTTTTTCTGGCAGAAGGGGGACACAGAATAATCAGTGTTTATAATCTGTTTTCAAAATGACAATTTTTTTTATCAAATAACTAAAATGACTATCCATAAATAGTAAAAATATTATAATTGTTCAAAATTAATTACATTGCCATGCAATATAAAAACATATTTAAATTCATTACTTATTTAATGCATAACATTAATTAAAATTTTATCATTTCTCTAGTTATGAAGATTTTAATGTGCTCTAAAGTTAATAAGTATAATTAAATTAAATTATGTAATACTTTTTCTCATTTTATTTAAAAACTAATTCTTTTCATGTTAACTGAACAGGTGACCTTGATTAATTTCATGATTACTCCACTTGGACTGCAAGATCAACTGTTAGGCATAGTTGCTGCAAAAGAAAATCCAGCTCTAGAAGAAAGTAAAAATAAATTGATATTAGAGAGTGCAGAAAACAAGCGTCAGTTGAAGGAAATTGAAGATCGTATTTTGGAAGTACTTTCATCCTCTGAGGTAAGAATGTGTCCCTCTAAATTATCCTCAAAATAAAGTGCAAAAATTTTCTAATTTATTTTTTCAAGGAACAGCAAAACAAAATACATGTATTTGAAATATTACAGGGTAATATATTGGAAGATGAAACAGGGTGCAAAGTATTAACATCTTCAAAGATATTATCTGAAGAAATATCTGCTAAGGAGGTAATTATATAATAGATAACAGTTGATTATTGTATATTCTAATTATTACTGGTAATGTGAAATTTAACACTGTACTATTGTGCTGTATTGTGTTCCAGAAAGTTGCTGAAGAAACCAAAGTAGAAATTGATTCTGTTCGTTATGGTTATCAACCTGTTGCTGTGCATTCTTCAATCCTTTTCTTCTGTATTTCAAGTCTAAGTAATATTGACCCAATGTATCAGTATTCCCTTGCATGGTTCATAGCTTTATATTATCAAGTAAGAGATAAATTTATTGTTAGAATTTACATATTTTAATATTCTTTAATAACACCATCTATAATCATTATTATTTTTAATTCTTTTCTGGGGAGTTGCATTTTAATGAATATTAAAATGATTAAGAATAAAATATATAAATCAATATTAATTAAAAGTTCATACTTTCAGCTGCAGTCTTCCTATTTAATTAATAACAAAAAAAAAAATTAAGAAGCACTAATTTTTCATTTTAAATACTGTTATGGAAAAAAATATCATTATATTATAATGTACTTTAATATACTTTATAAGATAAAAATTGCTCACTTTAAGATTTCAAATGCATCCATTAGTATAATTCACAATTAATAACATTTAATTCATATTTATGCAAATTCTAACTTTCCCCTTGCTCTTCTCTGTTTTCTTAGTCTATTGAAAATAGTGAAAAGTCTCCTGAACTTGAAAAACGAATCAGCTGCTTGAATGAGCATTTTACTGCCAGTATATACAGGAATGTCTGTAGATCCTTATTTGAAAAAGATAAACTACTTTTCTCCTTTCTTCTTTGTATAGGTATCTTACGTGGAAGGTAATAATCTTTTCAATGCAAATGTAAAAATACTATTACCTATCCATTCCCATATGCGTAAAATATCTATAATTATGATACTAAATTATGAATATTATGAATACTAAATTCATTTACTTTTTTAATACTTCCTTCCCCCATATTTAAACATTAAAAATTTTATGCAACTAAATAATTTGTTAAGAAATTGTATTTTTTTCATTAATATATATACAATATAGTTAGTTGGTAGTTGGTTCATTCAACTATGTCAAATCATTCAATGGCTATCTGCCTTAGGGAAGGCTTTATGGAGGATTTTCAAAAGAAAAACTGGCTCATATCGACTTTACATATGGGAGAAGCCACAAAAGGCATTCATCTGGAATTGAACTTGGGTCAAACTACCAGCATTCAGTAACTTTACCAAATGTATATGCAGCCAGCCATTCATCTGGAATTGAACTTGGGTCAAACTACCAGCATTCAGTAACTTTACCAAATGTATATGCAGTATGAGAGTTTTTACGTCAAAAACTGAGAGAATTTTTATATTTAAATATAAATTGAAAATTAAATAAAAGAATATGGTATAGGTTTTTTTTTTTTTTTTTTTTTTTTTTTTTTTTAAAAAAAAAAAAAAAACCTTTTTGTGAGATGCTGTGAATTATGGATATAAAAATAATGTTTTAAACAAAAAAAAAAATATATATATATATAGTATCTTATCACTTTTGACTCTCTGTGAACATCTGTAGCTAAATGTCATTTTAAAATTTATTCTGTATGTTGTTTAAGTATTTCTTGCTTCTGCTTCTTGTTTTTGCAAAGAATGTTATAAAAGTGTTCAGAATAATTTAACCTCCCTCTTCTGAATCATATGACTGCCTTAATCTGGTCATGAGATTTTTGATTATTTGGTATATATTACCTTATTATTTAAAATATTTTGTTTTATAATTTTCTTAAATTATATAAATATTATCTTAATGAATAAAAGCTTATGAAAAGGGAAACTAAAGTAATTAATTGTATAAACTAATAAATGTTCAAGTATAGTTCTTTTTTAGAAGACCCAAAAAGCTGTGCCACTCAAGAGTTGCATTGTTGGATATTATTTTTGTATCAAACTATAACTTTTTTAGCCACTATTTGACTAACAACCTAAGTATGTAATTCCCACATAAAAATTCCCACATAAAAATAAAATAAATTACGGAATGAATGAGAAATAAAGCATTTTCCCCCATTTACATGCTAAAAAAATAAATCAAAATAATTTCTCTCTTTTCAGAAAACAAAATCTTTTATCCATATAATTAAAATTATATTTCACAATGTAATTAATTTTTCAGCAAATTAAAATAAAACCATCGTTACATTTTTTTCTTTGTCATGAAAAAGTGTATTAGACTTCCATATATATTTCAATACATATGCTATATATATATATACTGTATATGCTAACCATAAATACTAATAATATGGTAACTATATATATACTATACATGGTAACCATAAATCATTATTATTTATGTTTCTAGAATTCAACTATGAAGAACTTTTTTATTGCTGCTCATTAACTTCTGATAATGAAATTAATTTTTAATTCACTGAAGGTTAAATTAAATGAATTTAAGTTTTTTTAATATGAACATAAATGTATTAAATTCTTATCTTAAGAAATTGGTATACAAAAACAGGAAGGAATGTTTTAAATTTCTGTTGATTCTTATCTTAATTTGCAAAATAAGCTTTTTATTTTTGTATGAATAAACAATCTACAGAATGCACATATTCTGTCAAAATTTATGTAGTTACATAATATATCTTAAAAAAATGTGAGAATGTTTAAATTAAGATACTTTTCTCCCCTTAAAACATGCTTCTGTAAACCATGCTTATCTTATATGTGTGCTGCTTAACCTTATGTACAAGATATTATAGAATGTAAAGAAAAACTTTATCTATATATTTCAAGAGACAGACTCTTTCTCAGTCTATAATATAACATTGCTCATTGAGTGATAAATTATCTTTACACTTTTTAAATTAATACTTTAAATCTTAATGTATTTTTTAGATTAATACTTTATACAAGGTAATTTATTGTCTTTTAACTTTTAAAAGAAAACAGTTTTTCTTAGCCTTGAAGTATGATCAAGTCTTTCTTAGCCTTGAAGTATGATACTATCGTTTAATTATATTTTTTGGCAAAGCAAATATCAAGTTCATGTATGCGAGATGATCTCATTATGCCTGCCCTCACCATTTTTTTTTTTACCTTGTAAAGAGCTTTCACATACTGACGATAGTCTGATATTGAGAACTATAATGCAAAAAAATATCAACAATTTGTCTTTCATATGTTTTAGGAATGAAGTAGATGAAGATACATGGCGATTTCTGCTGACTGGTGGTGTTGCTTTAGAAAATCCATATCCAAATCCTGCTCCAGAGTGGCTCACTGATCGTGCATGGTCAGAAATTGTACGAGCTTCTAATTTACCTCCATTAGAAGGATTAATGGAAAGTATGTTTTGTAGATATAGTTTTTTTCTATAGTATATGTAAACAAGTTTTTAATCACACTTCCTAAACAAAACTTTGTATTTATTTGTTATATGTTAATATCAATGACCTATATGAGAAATAACTGATTTGTTTGTAGATTTCCATATAATGAATTATCAGTACGCTTGACATGATGAATTTGCTTCACCATATTAATTCTTTTCTTGTATACTGTTGATCTGTGCAACAATAAGCATTATAAATTTATAGATGCAGAGCCATCTTAACAGACCACTGGACACTTCCCCAGGGGTCTCATGAGCATAAGGGTCCCATTTACATTTTTTTCTGAAAGTATTTGTCGTAGGTTCCTCAGCACACTGGCTTGCCCATGGGCTAAGACAGCTTATAGATGCACTGATGAAAATTTTTTCTAAGCACCTGTCTTCTGTTTTGGAATGAAATATGGGACATAAATTTCCACATGCGCATGTGCATTAAATTAATTTACTTTTGTCTGCAGTTCAATGACACTGAAACAAATTTGTATTAAGAAAAAATTGTATTTGTTGCTTATTAAATTTTATAAAAACACACATTAGATAATTAAGTATTATTCTAAAATTGTTTTTTTTTTTTTTTTTTTTTTTTTTTTTTTTTTTTTTTTTTTTTTTTTATTTTGGGTTAGTAAAAGTCATATTGCATTTATTGGAAGTTATGATTTCATACTGCTGCATATGTACAGGTTTGTAATGGACTGAATGCACACAAAACTGATGATAGCTCAATAAAATTTATTTTTACCAAAAGAAACACTTTACAGTTCTGTAACTTTGCTCAGAAGTACTTGTACAGTTCTTCTCAGTGTCATAGAGAACAGTCAGTAGTTACACTTCAAAGCGCATCTGAAAGGCAAAGCTCTCAATATTCCATACTCAATGCTGAACTGAACAACTTAGAGCTTTCTTTATACCATACGCCATTAAGGTTAGAAAATTAAAAGGCATATTGAAAAATACACCGTGCCCGAAGGCGAGATCAGCAGAATGAGCGAACTCACAAGATAAAGTATTTGTTAAAATGCATATCATGGGAAGCAGTACTACATCAATGGCGACAAAAGGCGAAATGAAACGTCTTAGCATCTGGGAGAGGCAAGAAGAGAAAATCACATGATCAGCGTCAGACTTATGATTGGTCGAGGAATCAAAGTAAGATGATGTTTTTCAATGTTTTTAGAATTAAGTAAAGTTCAAACATAGTAAAAAACAATATCTAACTGTTAAAGTCCTATGTCTTGTGAAACACATGAAATCATCAAATCTTGCAAAATAAGCATTAAATAAATTAAAAACTGTACAATGCAAAAAAGGTCATGTGGCTTGCTGGAGCCAATAAGAGTGAGAGTTGGTAGTTGACCGCAAACTTAGATTTATAAACACATGATACGAAATAGTAAAATAATGGATAAAAGTAAAACTCTTGCTTAAATATGTAGTAAATAAAGAAAAAAGCATCAAATCGATGAAAACAATATCCTAACTTTGCACAGTTCTTGTTTGTGGAATAATAAAAGGAGAGTAAGTGAAAAATAATCTTTGTACAATATTTACATTACCACCACTTTGAATTGTGGTGGATCGTTCGAGGTCTTTTCACTACGTGCTCTATTGTAGGGTCATAGTGAGTTAGCATTTTAATTTCTTCATAACTAGAATTTTTCATATCTTCAAAGAAGTTGTGCTGATATAAAGATTTGGTCATGAATTGGGTTGATTTCCAGATCTTTTTGAATTTAAGAATTACGCACGAACCAGAGTGCATTCACTATGCTTCGTAAGATTTTGTTTTAAAGAATGTTTATTTTTTGTCTGTCTGTTTTTCAAGCAGTAGCCCAGGCAGGAACTGCATAGAGAATAATTGGGCGAATTAGTGAGATGTAGATATTCTTCTTAGTATGGAGGTTTAACTTGGAGTTTCTTCCAATTAATGAATAGAGAGCTATGAATGCAGTATTTGCCATATTTGTAACATTGAATATGATCTTTGAAATTTAGGGTTTTGTCAATATAGACACCTAAGTAATTATAAGAATCAGCTACTGGAATTTCTTAATTATTAAGTTAGATGTTTATATTATGTTATTCCCATCAGGATTTAATTACTCAAATTTATTTTTCTGAACTGGTTCTTCTATTTCAGAATTTGATAGTGTTCTCTTGTGAGTTATTCTAGGGGTTACGTTGTTAAATTCGAATTATTCATTAGTAAAGAAATGACATAGTCCAGGTTGAACAATCAAATATACATTGGGAATATTTAGGTTACACGGAAACAAGCAACCACAACAATGCACACCAGATAGGGACGAAAACGACAACACTACTGTTACCAACTAACATAATGTAAATATTGGGATTGGCACATATATCTTATTTTTTTTAAACAAGCCCTCTTGCCTATCACACTATGTGCAAGATATTTACACACTTACATAAAAATTAATCACGCTGTGGTTATACACATTTACAGAAGAACAATGTAGCTGCTATTATATGTGTACACACTATTGACCTCTACTTATTAAATGAACACATGTTTACATAGAAATAATTAAGAAAAAATTGTATCTAGGCTTCTTTCTGTAGTTTTAAGTCAAGTCTCTACACAGTTACAACCATAGTGGTTTATGTTCAGTCATAAACTTCAGAGGCGATAATTTTTACATGCAAGTCCTAGCATAGTTCATGTCGCGTAAAAGTTTTTTCGAGGTCTGCTTAGTTAGGAGATCAGCGAGATTGTCGCTGGCTAGCACATGATCAAATACAATCACATTTTCTTTCACTAGGTCTCTCAGAAAATGAAATTTAATATCGATGTGCTTACTTCTTTCAGAAGTAACATGATTCTTTGCTAAGAAGATTGCTCCCTGGTTTTGAATAGCACTTTTTGAGGTGAAGCAGCTAATTCACTACAGATTTCCTTGATCAAATTTTTATTCCATAGGATTTCTTTGGCAGTGTGACACATCACCACATACTCTGCTTCTGTCGACGATAAAGTTGTTGTGGATTGCTTCTTGCTCGACCATGAGATTGGAGCACCTCTGAGTAGCATTATATAACTACTGTAAGATTTACGGTCAGTTCTGTCACCTCCCCAGTCGGCATCTGAGTAGGCTTGAACTGGCTCACCTCTGGAATTTCAATTTTCTGTGTTGTGTTCCCTTTAGGTATCTTGGAATGTGCTTCACACCTCTCCAGTGTTCTTCAGTGTGTTTTTCATTAAATTTGCTCATGTAGGTGTAAGAATAAGCCATGTCTGTGCGAGTACCACAAGTCAGATAAAGCAGACTTCCATGGCTTGTCTGTAAGGGATTTCCTTTGCTTTTTTCTTTGATTTCCTCCCACTGTTGCTCATCTAGGATAAGATCTGGCTTGCAGAAAACCTAGGTCCTTGACATTGAACCTTTTCTTGATGCTTTATCTGTGACATGTTTCCAACTATCAGGAGGTCATCAACATAAATTCCAATTATAATGTTCTTCTCATGACAAAAGTAAATTCAAGGGTCTGCACTTCATCTTTTCAATCCGTACTGGATCAGGAAGTCATTCAAGCAGGTACTCCATGCACGTCCTGATTGTCAGGACCATAAATGCTTTTCTTCAGGTGGCAGACAAGATGTTCTTTCCCTTTCTCAATGCAGTCTTCTGGCAGTGCCATATACAGGGTGATTATAATTAAAGTTTAAGTTTCAAAACGCTATAAAAAAAGAACCACTGATGAAAATGATGTGAAATTTGACAGGAATGTTATTGAAGAAGGCGGAAAGCGTATGGCAGAAGAAAAAATTTAGTTTCAAAAGTTAGCAACAGATGGCGCTGTAAGCAGCAGAATCACGACGAGAAACGAGAAATGATTCGTAAAACAACGGCTAAGGTGGATGTTACACATTAAAACGCATTGACAAATTAGACTTGTTGAATAATTTTATTTGCATGACTGTACATATCACATCGAAAGGGACAAATCGGTTTCAAGCGTTTTGCGGCGACATACCGCATAAGAACTATTCATCAAAGAAGTTCGTAACTGTCGCGAGACTGGCGCAAAACATGTTCAATATGGTGTCCACCGTAGTGTGCAACAAGTTGAAAGCGACAAACAGCATGTTCCACAACTGATCGCAATGTCTCGGGGTGATGTTCAGAATGTGTTGCGAAATGCGTGGCCTTTAATTCCGCTAAAATTTGCAATTGGAGCACGGAACACAACATCCTTCAGATATCCCCACAGCCAGAAATAATCACACGGAGTAAGATAGAAGATCAGGCGATCGGAACGGCCAGGTTGTAGGGAAATGACGGCTGATAATTCGAGCATTTCCGAAATGGAGCCTCAGCAGATCAGAAATGGTCGCTTCACGGATGTGCAATGTGCGGAGGAGCGCCATCTTGCATAAAAATGATTTCATCCCACACATCCACGTGGTTTTTGAGCAAAAAGAGACGCATACCTCTGACCAGTGACGGTTGCGGTAACAGGGCCGGAAAGCACCCGTCTGCTCGAAAAAAAAAATATGGTTGTAGGATGAATGATGCCGTAAAGCCACACCATACCGTGACCTTTTCAGGATGATGAGTGGTACGGGGTGCGTTGCCAAATGGATTTTCTGTTGCCCATATTTGACAATTCTGGGTATTCACGTATCCTGTCAGATGGAAATGGGCTTCATCTGTCCACAAAAAATTTCCACGGCCATTCATTATCCACTTCCATGCGAGCCCAGGAATTCTAAACGCAAACGTCTCCCTAGCTGTCAGGTCAGACGGAAGCAACTCCTGCACATGGCCAATTTTGTACGGATAGCATTGCAGAATGTTTCGTACAATTTTCAGCACCGTGTGCTCGTAGTCCTGTCCAAGTGTTCCGGCAATTCCTCGTGCACTTGCACGGTTGCACACCACCGGCCGACCCCTCCTGTAATGCTGTGACCACTTTCTTCAACTACCGTCGA